AACTAGATATATATATAGAGTTTAAGCGAGTGTATGCACAGCGCTGTTGCTGCCCTAAAATTGATATGATGCGTGTAATGTTGTTACGAGTGTCCAGCAGTTCCACACTTCTATCGATCTAAGGGTTTTTCATCCGTTTCTGAACTTCTAAACTTGTCTATCGTTCGGCGGCCTTTCTAATGCGATTTTTCGTTTTGTAGGAGGATATGGTGGTAACAATAGCAGCGGAGGCGGCGGTGGTGGTGGAGGCAACGATATGATCACACAGGAGGATACCATCTTTGTATCGGGCATGGATCCATCCACCACTGAGCAGGACATTGAAACCCATTTCGGAGCCATTGGCATCATAAAGGCAAGTGAAGACAGCATATGCTTAGCATTGTAAATAACTAATCATTGTTGGTTACCGCTTGCAGAAGGATAAGCGCACCATGAAGCCAAAGATTTGGCTGTACAAGAACAAGGAGACGGGCACCTCGAAGGGCGAGGCCACTGTCACATATGATGATGTGAATGCGGCTCAGTCGGCCATTCAGTGGTTCGATGGCAACGATTTCAATGGTGCCCAAATCAAAGTCTCGCTGGCCCAGCGTCAGAACAACTGGAACAAAGGCGGCGGCGGCGGCGGTGGTCGCGGCGGTTTCGGTGGACGCAATCGCGGTGGCGGTGGCGGCGGCGGCGGCGGTGGTGGTGGTCGTTTCGATCGCGGCGGAGGCGGCGGTGGCGGTGACTTCGATCGTGGCGGCGGCGGCGGTGGCCGTGGTGGCGGTCGTTTCGGTGGCGGCGGCGGCGGTGGTGGCGGCGGTGCCGGTGGTAATGTCCAGCCTCGTGACGGAGATTGGAAATGCAGCAGCTGCAACAACACAAACTTTGCTTGGCGCAACGAGTGCAATCGGTAAGCCGGCGCAAATCGTGACGCATTGCATCATGGACTCAATGAAACTCTTTTATTTTAGCTGCAAAACACCAAAGGGCGATGATGACGGCAACTCTGGTGGCAATAGTGGTTATGGAGGAGGCGGCGGCGGCGGTGGTGGTGGCAGCTATGGCAATATGAATGATCGTGGCAATGATCGCGGTTCCGGCGGTGGCTACCAAAACAGAGACAGAGGCAGTGGTGGGGGCGGCGGTGGCGGTGGATACTCACGCTACGGCAATGACAATGGTGGCGGCGGTGGTCGTGGTCGCGGAGGTGGCGGCGGCGGTGGCCGTCGTGATGGTGGCGCCATGCGTAACGACGGTGGCATGCGCTCTAGACCATATTAAGGATGCTGCATGCCATGCAAAACTATTTTTTCTAACTTACGTATTAATTATACTACATAGCAAGTACTCAATTTTAAATGTACTTTTATATTACGCTCCACTCTCTTTTCCCTGACCACCACCACCCACCCCCCCTTCCCTCACAACCTCACCAGTCAAAACAACAACTGCAACAACAAACAAACAAAACAACCAAAATGCAGATCGTGCATTCAAGTCATTTATCCATTGATTTCCGATTTCAGAACTTGTTACAAACTGTAGCATTTTATCACTCGTTTTGACTCTAGCATATTATAATATGTATATGTAATCTAATTTTACAAACAAAAAACAAAAACATAATTGTAATAGATACATACAAATAAAAATTAATGAAAACAAATTATATGTATATGATTTACAATATGGGCTCAGTGTTTCGGTTTCTGAAAATAAGTTTAAAGAGAGCCAAGTGGATTTTAAAGCAATCCGCTCAAAATATCTCGCACGTACTAGAGAGAGACGGATATACTGAGGATGGATATGCTTAGAGAGAGAGAGAAATAGAAGGATGAATATACTTAAAGAGATGCATATACTAGAGAGAGCGAGAGGTAGGTATATTCTAAGAGAGAGTAAGCGAGAGAGAGGGGCATACTTATAGAGACAGAAAGAGAGCGAGAGGGAGGAATATACTTGAGAGAGTGAGATGGAGGAAAATGCGTACAAATCAGAGCGAGAGGTAGGCATATACTTATAGAGAGAGCAAGAGCAAGCAATATGCTTCGAGAGTGAGAGGGAAGCAATAACAAAATAGAGCGGGACGAAGGTATTGCACCTAAGTTGCTAGGTCTAAGTCAACATGAGCTTCCTGTTGCAATATTAGACGCTCCTGCACATATTTGATCAAACTCAGCAAATTATACATACATATGCTCAATGTCAACTCCGTATATATACTTACATATGCATGAACTGAGTTCCACATAAAAATAAAAACAATACCAAATAAAATGTGTGTAAATTTATCATTTCAAAGTTCAGTTTTAATGGGACATTAATAAACTATTATTCCTGATGAGCTGGCTCTCGATTAATATGTATTTATTTATAGTTAAACGGTGCCACTAACTGGCACGCACACTGAGAGAAATTTGATTTGGAGTGTTAGCAGCGTCATAAAACAGACGATTAACATTTGACTTGAATTTTATAAAATTTTAATAATTATATTTAAATGAATATACATTTGTAATATTACAGTTCATCTTTTTCCAGCAAGGTATAACGGTGTTTCGATGGACCCAGTTCCTTAAATTTAGACTCGGGCGGCGATGTACCCTTACCATTGTCCGACTGGATTTCATTACTTGTGGGATCCGGCCCATAATGAAACTCTCTGCAATTAAAAAGTTATTAGATATTTCTAAAGGCTTATAAAGCTCATCAATTATTGCATACCTGTGCAGTTTCCCACTGTAAAGATCCTGCAAGAATTGCTTTAGCTTGCCGGGCGTATACATATCATTGAAGTGGGGGAAGAGGTACATGTGCTTGAACGAGTCGATGGCTATGACCGGTAGATCATCTTCGGATTTGCCCAAGTGGTGTAGCGGATGCGCAAACCGTTTGCCGTCCGCGGTTAGGAAATTGACATTCTCTGCATGGAAGAAACACAGATGGTAATTGATATAGGAGATCAAATTAAATGTCAAGCAAACGTACGCTTCTCATCCATCAACTGTTGCTCGATGATTGCTTTGTAATCTTTAATGGAATTCAGGTCATCGGGCTTATAGAACAGAATAAGGAACGGCAGCCCTTCCTCCGTTAGCTCCTCAGCGGTCTCGAATGTGATCTCCCTGACGAGCGGCACACATTTCTCCTGTATCCACACCTTCAGCTCATCGAAATTGGACAGGCTGCCCGTATAGGTTTCATCATTTTCGTGCGACAAGGCCACATCTGGTCTGAAGACGATAATGGGTGTGCCTAAAAGAGTTAAATTGCATTAGTTAATTGTGTGAATACAACCCAGTACTTCCGACACTTACCAGGTGGATGCATTGCCTGCGATGCTTCACCGAATCCAACATGAAATTGGCAATCCTCCTTGAGGTTGGTGGCCACCTTGCGGAATATATTATATTCGGCTTGATCGCGCCTATCGAAATAGCCTATAATACTACGCTTCTTGGAGTCCAGATTCTCCAGATCCTTCAGCGATTTGAACTCCTTGATGGGGTCCTCCAGCTGTTTCTTGACAAACTCCAAGAACGCCTCGGCCGACCGCTGGCCCCGATACTCCCGCTTGCTCAGCTGTCCATTGCGCACAATCTTCAGTGTGGGATATTTGCTAATGTGGAAACGGGAGGCAATGGCCGTCTCTCGATCACAATCCACTTTGCCTAGCACCACCTTCCCAGCTTCCGGGAATTCCGCTTTAATCTGTAATTTATTTGATTGCACATAAATGAAATATTCAACAACAACAGCAACAACAACAAGAATTCTACATTTTTCGTTAGTTTATACAGCTTGAATTGAGATAACATGCGCCTAATTTAAACAACAGACGAAATTCCCCAGAAAAGACTAAAATGTTTTGTGCTCCACATATTTTTGTTAAAATTCTTCTTCTGTTTTTTCCTCCAGCTGTTTCATTGTTTATGCCCAAACAGCTGCAAGCCAGTCAGGCAGGTAGCATATATACTTCAATTCACTGTATATATTCCGAGCTATTGACGAACTTTTTGAGCAGACCTCGCGTGCATAAACAACTATTACTATCAAATTATCAAATTTAGCTTCCCGTATAGTTATATGACGTTTTCTAAGGCTTTATATTCGCTTATATTTATATTTATATTTAATTTACGAAATTTTATTACTTGAATCCTAAGGAAAAGTAAATCAGCTTTCCTACTCTAGTTTGTCATGCACTTCCCAATATTAGTTACTTACTCTCACTTACTCTNCATTTCTATAACCTGTCTGAAAACCGGCATTAGATTTCCCAGCATGATAATGCTCCAAATCCAAATCCAAATCCCTGAAGTCCTGGATTCAGGGCCAAAAAATTGATCTCATGGAGTGGCCACCATACTCACTCGACCTTAATATCATTGGAAACGTCTGGGGATGGTTGGTCAGGAAGTATATGAGTCCGGAAAGCATTATAGTGCAAAGACAGAGTTAATCGAAGGTACTGAACACGCTTGGCCAACCATATCCTTGAATAATATTGAACAACTTTATAATTCCACTCCTAATCGAATTTTTGAAGTAATTTCAAACAAAAAACGGCACTACGCACTACTAATATTACTTAAAAATAATAATAGCTTAAAATACGGTGTTATTTTTGGTCATTAACTTAAATAAATTGAATTTAGCGCAGGGGGCGCTAATCTGATGACCAAATTTTTGTTACATGTTTTTTGTACATTTTACAAAAAAAAATTATTTAAAAATAATCCTTATTGTTACAGTAGCCATTCTTTTTGTATTTTAAAGATAAATAAATGGAGTATAATGTAAAAAAATTTCAAAGATGGAGCTCTGATAGTTTAGATTTTATTTAGCTTTGAGGTTGAGTGTAAAGGGGGGCGCTAACCTGATGACGCGCAGTGTATGTATATATTTTCACAATCTCGTGACTACAAAATCATATTGAGTCAGAAATTGTTTAATTTTCTTTAAACTAATTTTTTTTTTTTTTTTCTTAAAAGTTATTAGATGCCAGCGTTATCTTTATCTATATATTGGTCCCGAAACAGTTCCACTAGACTGTTACTCTGATCTTCGTTTACCGTGCTCCCACAGCAGCATTCTTTTTATAGATCTTCCATCATCAATCAATTGTAAAACAATCCTGGGATTATTTTGTTACATTATTTGATTAATGATGATAGAAATCCTGTTTTAGTTTTTCCGATCGTATTAGATCGTTTGTTGTATTTTTAATTATTCTCTTTATCATGCATTCTATTTTTCCTTTCTCTCCTTTTTCTACTTTCTTTTAGTCTTCACTTTTATACTTTCTCCATTTTTTAATAATCATACTTCAGATTTTTTAATAAGTACTTTTTGAATTTCCTTTAACACTCTAAAACTTATCAGATGATAGCTTTATCAATAACGTTTCTAACTGTTAAGACAACAATATAAAATTGCCAAAGAAAATATAAACATTTATGTATTTTTAACAATTTTTGACTACATAAGAAGGAAGTCAAGAATTGTAGAATCTTTGACAAGTTGCTTCCCTTAAAGAATTGGAAAGCCAGTAGGTGACAACTTTATCTAAAAGATAATAGGAATGAGAGTATATACAGATATACATAGATACATACATATGTACACAATATTCTGTCTGTATTGTAACACATTAAGAGAGTAGCAGCCTGTCTGGACCAACAGCAATTAATCTTATCAAGCCGTGGAAGAGCGTGTAATTGTGCCTATCAGAGTTTTCTATGCTTATTAACTGATAAGAATTACTATTAGCAATATTGGTAACAAATGGGAAATGTTAGTTGGTTAGGCCTTTCCCTATTCGGCGCAAAATATTGGCAAAAACACACATTAAAGGACACCGCATTGCAGCTGATCATGCAGCAAAGTTAAATTAAAGCTCTAGCTATATATTTACATATAGCTCGTATGCTGTTTACCTGTGCTCACTCGAATGTCAAATTGACTATGACTAATTACAGTTTATTGAGTTTTGTGAGCGTAACGACTATATTTCTGGAGCAGCATACCACCACGCTGGCAAATTCTGTGAAATTTATCGAGCTTCAGATTTTCAATTTGTGACACGTCAAGCGACACTCACACACGCACGCGCCGAAGCTCGCGCGTGTGTGTGAGTGCGTGTGCGTGAGCCTGTTTGTATGTATGCATGCGTATTGGTGCACCAGCTGAGTTATTAAGTAAATATGCTTGGATGCGAATATGTGTGTATGTATGTAGGTATATATGTAGTCCATGCGGCTTTTAATGCACTTGCTCTAGCTATGTTTATGTTGCAGCAGGTGCTATCATTATCGGCTTACCTAATGTCATATCAATATTTTCACTGGTCAGGGGCAACGCACCACCAGTCGCATCTGTTGGCTGGTAAAGGACATGTAGAACCTGAAATTAGCATAAGGCAGAAAACAATAACCACTCATTCATTAGTTGATCATATTCCAGTGAGCTCGAATGTGTATTGATTCACAGGTCATTTGTCACATGTAGCTTTGGTCATTGGCCACTGATCATTGACCAAACAAGCTTGGGACATTTCCACGTCTTAGCCGGCCGACTCACCGTCGCTCTGATTCGAGCGGGTGCGGGTAGAACACGTCGACTTACCGCAACAATGGCTAAGCAGGAGACCAGCAATGGCTTTATGGATTCGGTCATGTTGGTGCTGTGGGCGGCAGGCTGGGCCAATATTTATAAACTACTGAAAACTAATTTATTTAATTTTAATTCACTTTTACATTAGGTGGAATGAAAACGCAGTCACGACGTATATATATAATAATTATAACAACTTCGTTGATTATCGTATAGTGTTGGTTAATGCCTGAAAATAGAAGTACCCATGCAGAAAAGTATTCGTTTCGTGTAACGATTATTTCCCAGTCGTGACTACACAGGCTGATTGATTATTTATGTTTATTCCAATCAAAAAATACAAGTTATGGTTAATAAAAGGTCGTCATTACATTTTAAGCTTAATAAAAATAAATAACAGGCTTAAATAAGTGCCTACTTGTAAAATTAAATTTAAAAA